CTCCAGTAAAACACCAACTGATGATTTGAAACTTCATCTTGGAAGGTGGAAATCCTTGTGGAACCAGGTAGGAGAGACAGGCCAGTGATGGTGAATAAATCAAGGTGCAGGGAGATTAACCTGTTCCAGGAAGAGGCTGGTGTTTATCTAACAATCATTATTAGTGGCATCTTTATTTTGTCCCCATTGTAACCAGAAAGGGAACCAACCTTCGCGTGTCTCCTGCCTATCTCCAGGTGAAATGTAGCAAATCATGGTACCTGCAAGACACAGCTTTGGGCATTAGGGCTGAGTGAGGGGATTCCCACACACTCTGTGCCCTCTCACGAGTTGTGATTCCCCACCCCAGCCCTTCACAATCAGGAAAATACCCCAGTAGATACTGTTTGTCTGTATCCATAAGGAATCGGCTATTTCCAGCTCCAGCCCCAGCTCTCTTAGGTGGTTCCTTGGGAAGTTCATCCGTGCCCGATTTACAGTCCTGAAATCTCAGCAGCACCGGGAATGCTAGGGGATTGGTTTTTGAAGAGACTTTGGCAAAACGTAGTTCTCCCACCGTATTCTGCTACCCGTGGCAGTGAAATAACGCTGTTTATTTCGGGAAGCGCCGTGTCTCCGCATGGATTGTGCCCAGGGGAAGGGCTGTGGATGGCGGCGCGGGGCTGGGTTTGCCTCTGGAGCCCCGGAGCCGCAGGGAATTCCGTCTGTGCCGCTGGAGCTCGGCCAGCTCGGGGCTGCCATAAGCACAAGGGGCTGGCTTGGCTGTCCCGCAGGTTGGAGCGGGATGAAATCCTTCTCCCCGGGAACAGAACGGAACGCGCGGCTTTTCCTGCGCATCCGGGATGCGCCGGAGCAGCGATGCTGATGCTTCACTTGCCTGTTTCCCATCTGAGGAACTGGGACGTGACTAAGCCAAGCCTAAGGCGGGGAGCAGCAGGGTAATGGGGGGTGTGCGTGTGAGAGCTTCTCAGTGTTCATTGATGTGCCTTTATCAGATCTTTCCTCCCCTGTTTCTTTTCATGACAATTTTTTTCTCCTCCATTCACAAAACGCAAAATACCCCGTAGCAATCAGAGAATACAAAATACGGGGTAGAAATATCTTCTATGGTGTTTTAACTTGAAATTAGAAAACCACCCTGTGCTTTCTAGCATAGTATAATCAACTCAATTCATGCCGAGCTGCATCTTCCACACCTCCAGTCCCCTCCCGGCCATCAGACTTTACCTGGCACTCAAGCACACTCAAATAATTTCCTTTCAGAATGAGGGGGAAGCTATTTTCTCTCACAGACTATATGGTATGAGAACTCACCCTGGACAGTTTATAAATGAATATATGCTCTGCTTGAATCAGTTTGAGTAACCTTCAGTATCCTGCTATTGAACAGCCACAAGGATGGGTTTACATGAGAAATTACAGAGAACAACGTCTTACACTTTGCTTCAGAAAATAAAATACTTGAATTTGTGTTTTTCTTCCATTTGGTGAGTTTTTTTGCCAGGAACCACTGTGTCATCAGGCTGTCGGAGCCATCATTTGCACCAGTCATCATTGTCACTTTAGCAAACCCTCATGGGAGACGTGAGCTGGCTTCTGTTTTGCCATGTGGCTGATATCTGCCACACCTAATTCAACCCAAGATTTTTTTTTTGTGCAGCTTATGCTGGGGGCACAGCTGGGTACCCAGCCAGGGTCTCCTACCCCGCAGAGAGAGAGCAAGACACATGAAAGGTCTCTATAGTGCAAAGAGCAGGACCCGAAGTCATTAACATCAGGCACTGGGAGTTGCTGCTGTGCAAGGCACTGCACAAACACCTGCCAAAGCCAGTCCTGGCTCCCAACACGCTGGATGGGAGCTCAGGAAAAGCAGATGAAGTGGGTGAGCAAGACGTGCAAGAAAAGCAAGATAGTGCTGGATACCACAATGAGCTGCCAACCTTTGCAAAAATTCATTCTGCATCAAAGGAGGTGAACAGAAAAGCGCTGAAGGTAGATAAGGTGGCTTTTTGGGTTGCATTTCCAGTGTTTACAGGAATCTGCAACACCTCGTTTGACTCCCACATCACCTCTAATGGAGGTACCTGGTACTGTGAGCAGAGCAACATGACCTCAGTCTTATATGTGGGAGTGTTTTGGTCTGGGGAAAATTTTTAAAAAATGAAGATTGGTGTAGAAACGTGTGAATTAGAGACTTAATGACGATCTTCTAAGCCCAGCAGCCATGCAGTGGTGTGATGATGTGCTGCATGTATTTACCTACCACAGGGAACTTCTGCCTTCCAGCTTGTTTATAAAATTACAGCAAAAACTACTGAGGGAACTCAAAGACCTTTCCTTTACAGTGGTCACATGCATTCCTGATGCAGCAGATTTCACATTTAAACAAAAAAACACACCTTGCCTTATTCTACACAAAGAGTTTATCCAGGCTGCTTTGCCTGTGCTGCTGCCCGTCTGCAGATGCCTCAAAGAGTTGCAGTGTGGGTCTGCAGGGGACTGGTCAGCCCAGGGACGCTCTGCAAAGGCATTTAGTGCTTTTTTTTTTTTTTTTTTTTTCCAAGTGGTTTGTGCTCAAATGCAGTAGGGAAGTCAACTTGTGTCAAAGGCAAACTTCTACATCTGAGGAAAAACAATGACAGGAGCGTCCCTAGCTTCTCAGAAAAGCACAGCTGGATGTCTGTTCCCCGGACTTTCTGTATTAAAAATTGAAAATATCCTGAAGTACCTGGAGCAGCATGGGGACACACAAGGTGCTGGGAGCCCCAGCCCTCACTGCCCACGTTCCCGTGCCCTGCTGGCACATCCAGCACTGCCACAGCCTTTGCTGCTGTCACTCTGCACGGCCACCTCCAGGGCTGTGTTTCTCTGTCCCCTGGGATCCCATTGCCTTGACTGAACCTCTGTATTTCATTCGTGCTCTGCAAACTCTGTGGTGCTTTTACTCTCCCATTTTGATCCTGCAGGAGACTGACAGCTGAAAACAGTTTTAGCAGGAATCCTCAGTTTGTGAACACAAATTTTACTCAATTTTCTAATTGAATAAAATCAAACTGACCACAACAGAGATGGCCCAAAAAAGGTAAAAGAACACTTACACCCCATCTATAAATATCAGCAGAAACCTTTCTTAAAAAAAAAAGTGATGCAAAATTAATGAAAATGTACAGATAATTATCAACTTTATTGACCAATTTCCTTACTAACCAAGTCACTCATCAAGTTATTTTCCTGAGGGAAAGCAGTAAGGTACATGGCAATGAAAGGCTGGACTTGAGTGAGAATGAACCAATTTACAGACACAAGTGGAGAATACCAGTGTCTGGTTTAGAATGCATCAGTTGTGCACCCAAACATCGTGCATTTGCCCCTCTGAGAGCAGAGGCTTTTAAAAGCTGCTCTTCCTCACTCACAGCCCCCTTGCACCTCCCCATGCCAGAGACATTTGTGTTCCAGGAGTGCCTCGTGCTGATGCTCCCTGCACAGAGCAGGAGCAGGAACTGAAGCTGTAAATCAGCAAGAGGCTTGTCCCCTGCCCTACAAGTATTGGCTGTCATTTTCTAATTCCTGAAAATAGCAGAAAAAACAAATGTTCTGGAATTCACAACCACCAGGAAGCTGCTGGATTGGGGCTGTTAACAATGCACCAGCACTGGCAGGACCGACAAGCTCATTCACACCATAGCAGATGGATCCTGACCGGGCAGGCACCACCCCAGCCCTTCAGGAGCAGCCCTGACTCCGTGGGGGCCCTTGTGTCTATTCCAGCTGGGTTTGGAAGCTTCAAGTGGTGCAATGCTAAGGAAAAACCTTTCACCATGGGGCTCTGGAGGTCACTGCTGCAGTGGTGGGTCTGCAGGCAATTCCTCAGGTGGTTCAAACTCTTTCCACCGTGGCCCAAATGCTGCTGGCCACTGACAGCCCCCCCTCTGCCCGCTGTACCTGAGCTGGGGTATCCTGACAGAGGCTGGGGCAGCTGCAGAAATTTGGAGAAAGATGATGGCACCTGCAGCAGGGCTTCCCCAGGAGCACCCCAGGCACAGTGAGTGTCCCTCCCTCACCAGCCCCCGTATCCCTGCCAGTGTCCCCCACACCTCCTCCCCAGGTTCTGAGCTCGGGTGCACCCAGGGGCCAGCACCGCCCCTGTGCAGCCCCAGCTCCTCCCTCCCCCCAGAGCCCAGGGAGGGCTCATCACCATCTCCTCCTGCCCAGTGCTCCCTGTCCCCCCTCCGCTCCTGGGCACCCAGCAGCGGTGCTGGGGTGCAGCCCCACCCCTGCCCCAGTCACGACACCAAGCCCTCGTTGGTTGCTGCCTCCGCAGTGGTTTATTGGGTGGGAGCCAGGAGCCCCTAGCAGCGTGGGAAGCACCGTGGGGGTGCCATGGAGAGAGCCCAAGAGCCAGAGCCCCGGCTCCTGCGGCAGGGACCGATTTCCAGCCTCACTAAAGCAGCAATGCAATACTGGAGAGCAACAGGCAATCCCAAACTCCAGTATTTACGTGCTGCTAGAGCACTGCTGACAGCTCTGCACGGCCTCCAGACCCCCCCTCCCTGCCCCAAACACAGGGAAGGGTCCCTTGGCCCATCCTTTGCCAGGGAAAGGCCCGAGGAGCAATAGCTGAGGGGTAGATATAAAATAGGATGTGGTCATGCCCACGTTGGAGAACAAAAAGGAGCTACAAGTCCTTCCTGCCTGCAGGGCCAGACACACGAGCTCACAGGGGATGTATCTGTAGCTGCAAAGGATGTGCACAGTACAAGCACCAAGAGAACGTGTCTACACATACCTGAACTAATGAGATACATGGGAATGTGTTAGCTTCCACATCTATGATAACCAGAAGCTCACTTTCTTGTCTTATCCTTGAGGTAATGAGGCAGCCCAGAATGGTCTGTATCTCCTTGTCCCTACAAACCATGATGTGCTGCTACATCTCCTCAAAGCCCACTGAATGTTGACATTCCAAATGGTATTTTGAATATATATATATGTAATTTTTTAAAAACTATGATATAAAGAACTGAAGAACACTCTACAATGAAGACATTTAACATGCATGCATTACCACCACAGGACAGGGCTTTTTTTTTCTTCACAGGTGCTATCAGACAGTCTGTAACTATAAGAGAACAAGCAGTTATACAGTGCAAACAAACCAGTTTCAGAAACATCAGAAATTAACTGCTCCCCCCAGCCCCAAACCACACTTAGTATTGGGTCCCAGCAAATAATACACTTTCAGATCCAGCTGATCTGTTGCTTTTGCTACTGTGAAGAGCCTGAAGAACTTCCCAGCCCTTCCAACTGGTCTGTGGGGAAACACTACCTTGTACTTTTCTCTTAGGTGATGTTGAATATCAAAGATTTTCCAAAAGTCACAATGTTAATATTTCAGATAAATAAATCCAGATTCCAATAGTTGAAACCTGTTAAATTTTCCTTAAAATACTTCTAATCAGCTCAATTTGACTTTTGACATACGTAAAAAATTCCCTATTTTTGAAAATATTAAATTATGCTTATTTACAATGTGAATGGACAAACCTTATACGATGAGCAATTAAAGATCTCTGGAACTTCATCACATTCCCTGGCTGTACCAGAGCAGAAAGCACCAGAACAGGGCAGGGAGAGGCTGCAGCCCTGCAGAAGGGAGCTGCCAGTGGCACTTACACACCAGCCTGCCTGGGCTGCACAGGAGCCGTGCAAACAGACTGATATTTTTTGTATTTCCTTTCAACCAACCCTCCCCCCCCCAGCTATGTGACAACTTCCTTCAATTCATTTTCTTAAAAAGCAGCATCACAAAAAAACCTGAACAATGTCAGAAATGACGCCTTGGGTAAGAATTCTTGTGCCATCCCCTCGTGCCCAACGTGCTGAGTCCCTGCCTCTTCAGCAAACTTAAAAATAGGAATTTCAAAAGCTCTTGTGACCCATGCCAAGTGATTTCAAATTTGAAATCAAATATTTGCCAACAAAAAACCAGTATATTTTCACCCCTTCAGTGTCCTCAACACTGACAACACCAGGGCCAACTCCCTAATGAGCAGGTGCTACTTGCTGCAAAGCAAACACGTACCCAGTGCTAAGCCTGTACGAGCTAAATCACATCCCCCCACATAATATTACCATTAATTACTTCTGTAACAATGTTTTACTTGACTGTACCTGTGCAATCTTATTTCTTTCATCTCTTCAAATGAATTCAAAAGAAAAAAGCAACAGCAAACAGGTTCAGCTTTAGAATCCATTTTGATGGTGTTTGAGGTTCACATTTTAATTAATGTTTTTATATTTGTATAAACCAGACTTTTGCTTAGTTCAACAACAAGGGCAGGAAGCTTTCTTCAGTAAGGAGGACTTTTCAAAGCAAGGGTTTAGTACACCTCCACCAACCTCTAGCACAGAGGGAAAATCAACAGTCACACCAAGTATTGGGCAACTGGAAATTTGGGACAGGCAGTGAACTATAAATCTGAAAAAATATGCACATTTATGACATGACAGCATCAATATTTTGTGCAATAGAAAGTTTCATGTTTGAATTATCCCATGTCCCACTTCAGCTTCTTTCAAACTTAGTTTGTGCTTTGGAAACTCAACTTTAAATCAGAAATTGGCAGCTGAACAGGGTAATTTGAGTTCACTTGAATGTCTCCAAGGTATTACCTGCAGTACTCGAGAAGGGATATGCATGTCAGAGGGACTTGCATTTACCCAGAGGGCTGCAGATGCTGCAGGTATTTTGGAGCAGGTGGGACATGAGCTTACCTTCCCAACTCACCTCTGAACACAGGCACACCAGCTCCTGCATGGACTCTCTGGACACAATCAGATTGCTGCTTCAGTGGGAGCTGCAAAGCAACAACACAAACGGTTTGAGATGTGCTGGCAGAGAGGAGCAACTCCAGGAGGGGGGACCAGGGCTGTTGGGCAGGTCCCCTTCCAAGGCACACACAGACAGGTGCAAGTATTTTTAAAATTAGAGAAGAAAAAAAATATAAAATCAGATAGGGCAGACTATGCAGCAGAATAACTGAATAACTACACCCCTCCTCTCTCCATCCTCCCAATGCCTGGGCTACTGGCACTGTTGGCTCAGTGTGACTCTGGGCAGTGGCACCCAAGGCACACTGTTAACCCCAAATCATAACCCAGGTGCTGTACAGCAAGGAGGGATGAAAAACCAGGGGCAGCTCTGGGCAGGTGGGAAAGCCATTGAGCACAACCATGGCCAGCACCTTCCTCCCTGAAGCAGCAGCAAGAACAACTCTACTGGTCCTGGCAAACCAGAAGCAAAGGAAACATCTTAATTATGCTGGTTTAGATTGATAAACCAGCCCTAGGACAGGAGGAAAGATGCAGAGAGGTTATTTCGGGGCTGATGCTTTTGTGGTGGTGCCCTTTCTCACTGTCAGGTAGAGTCAGCATCCCAGAAGCACCTTTAACTTCCAAGCAGCACCCCAGTACAGCCAGGAACAGGGGTGTCCTGCTCACTGGTAACCCCAAACATGAGAAGAACTGCCCCAAAAGCTCCACCTCGATGCAAAAGCACTGCAACAGCCCTTCTGCTGCCAAGAGCTCCACGCTCACTGTGTGTGCACCAGCTCCTTCTAGAAATAGAAAGTTCTACCTGTCATCTACGTAAGCCAGCCACCTACAGAGGTTTAATTAAATCCCCCAAATAACTGGGGAATTTGAACATGCAGAAAACCATTAATGCAATTCACAAAACAATAAAACTTCGGCTTGCCAAAGTATATTGGGCAATTAAGTAAAAAACACCCCCCACCACTCCAATCCCAAACACACACACAAAACCAAAACAAATTCCCTCTGAAATACTGGATTCCCTTAAAATACAACCTCATCCCTCCTCACTGACACTAACCAGAAAAAAAAAAGAGAAGGGAAAAAATGTGAGGAGCGCCATGGGAAAAGAAAGGAAATAAATACAGGAGCCCATGACAGGACAGATTTGCATACAGAGCCTTTACTGACCCACACACTTCAGGGCTAGGTAAACTCAAACACAAGTAAATATCAAGCATTTTCTATACAGAGAAAAAAAAAGGAACAAAAATCCCGGCTCTGCTATCCAACAGTTTTCTAGGAGACATGCACAAACAAATCCTGAAGTCATTGTTCTCATTTGAAACAACTGGGGGGAAAAAAAGACATTTCTTATTTTACAAAAAGACTAAAGTAAATCATCTCATTAGAGCAGAAGGTCCCAGGCACTCATGAGCGAAAAATCACGGTGACAAAACGAAAATAAGGGTGTGAATAACACCACCAGAACACTTCATATCTGCCTGGCTCTGAAAAATCCCAGCACTTTCGTTGCTGACTCCTTTTGAACAATGAGGTTTAAACAAAAGTCACGTCCGAATATTTACAGATGTGGCCAATAGCTGGGATCAGAGCCGGTGCTTGATCGACAGCCACCACATGGCTCCACTCTGCCCTTCCCGGCAGGAATTGCCTCGCAGAGCTGCGGGAGAAGCGGCTGTGAAGGAGCCCGAGCACTGGGAACTTTCATTTCATTTGCACGGAACCCACAGCGCATCTCCCCATCACCCGAAACCACCGCTCTGCCCAGCCAGGACTCACTCCTAGGGGCACAAAATAGACGCAGAAAATGTGTTTCCTCCCTGTTTTTATCGAAGCCATGTGAAAGCGGTTTGTTCCTAACGCACTTCATCAAAAATAATTTTTTTTCCTCACGAATGTGCCCGTAAAAGGGTCAGGGAGGCAGCACACAGGTCATATAAACCCCAGCACGTTTTCCTTGCAGCACGGCGCACCTTCCCCGCGCTAAACTTAAACCACAGGGCATCGACACGCTCTTAGGTGGGGCCGAACACCCGAAACCAAACTGCAGCTACAAAGGGCAAATTCAAATAACGCAAAAAATAATTTCGTTAACTTCACTCGGTGCGAAACTCGAGGCCAACATTGTTACCGGCAGGATCAGCTGTGTTTACCGAGGCGGGGGTGTTAGTGGGACCGGGAGCTACTGGTGCTCCGAAAGGCCTGCGGGACAAGACTTCAACTTACAGCACTCCAGAAAACCAGTAAAATCCACAGTAAAATTCCAGGATCCACAGTTTTTTCTCAACACTGCTGAGGAGAAGAAAAGTATGATGCTTTTTCTTACTTCCAAGTTTTAGCATTGTCATCTCATCCACTTCTAAACAACAAGGGTCAGATTTGAAAGTCCAATTCCTATAAAGTTTATTTGTTAAGAACAGGAAAAAAACAAACAAAAAAAACCGTATTTCTTTTTTAGTCAGATGAAGAGTAATTCAAAATATAAGAAACACATTGACTTTTTTTTTCCTTCTTAGATTTGGGTCAGTTTGCCTGAAGCATTACTTAAAGCTTCCCTCTTATATTTAATAAACGTTTACTGCATTAGTAGCTCAGTTTTGCTGTATTTCCCACCAAAGTCGATTAACTAAATACAGACTTTTGCAGTTGCCGGTGAGCTCTTTGGATTTCTTCAGAACAGAAGATGATGAAACTTGGCAGATGGTCCCTCACCTACACTTAACACGCATACAACACACAAGCAGAATTTCAGGTTTTTGTGGGGAGCAATTAATGATTTAGCCTTGGAAAACTCACTCTCCAAACGCAAAAAAATTGTCTTTATATACCTGATGCAAATATGGGAAAAATATTGTACGTAGGATCAATTAGAGGGGGAAAAGTCCCTGCGCTGCGCAAGTTGCTCCATCACTGCCGCTCCCAAAGCGCTGCGAGGCTGCCCTGGGAAGCTGGCCCTTGCCAGGATATTCAAATTTCCTGTACAAAGCGAGCAACCAGCGAGGGGAAAAGGAAAAAAAAAAGCACAAGCTGGCTGCCAATTAGACTTTCTTTAACATTTTAAATTATTTCGGCGAATTATTCTTCGGTTACACTAGCATTTATTTTTTAAATGTATAAAACTATTCTCTACGTGCGGGGGCGCGCAGACTTCGCGCCGAGCCGGCACAACCCGCGGGTTCCCCGCGTTCGCTTTAAAAAAAGAGGGAAACGGGGAGGAAAAAAAAAAAAAATTATTAAAAAAAAACCAACCCCGAGCCCCACCTGCGGGGGGCGGGCGCGGCTCAAAAGAAAAAAAAAGGCAGCCGGGGGTTCGCCGGGGCGCCCCGCACCCACGTGGGAACCGGCCCCGCGCTCCGCTCCCGCACAACGGCCCGGGGGGGCCCCGCCCGCCGCCCCCCGGTCCCCCCCGCTGTCACCGCCCGCTGCGTCACGGCCCCGAGCCCCCGGGGCCGCCTTTGTGCGCCGCGGGGCGGCTCCCCCGGGGGGGCCGTCGGTGCCGCCGCGCTCCACACCCCCCCCGCAACAAAAAAGTTTTTTTAATAGTTTTTTTTGGGGGGCGGGGGGGTGTTTGGGGAGGTTTTTTTTAAGTTCTTTGCCTCCCCCCTCTCTCCCCGTAAAGTTTCGGCCGGGCCCGTGTCCGGCCGTGCCCCGCGGGGAGCGGCGCGACCCCGCCCACGGGGCAGCGGCGGAGGGGGGTCCCGCCGAGCCCCCCCCATCGCGCCCCGTCCCGCGTGTTCCCCCCCAGGGCCGGCCCGGGCCGGGCCGTGCCGCCCGCAGCGGGGACGGGGCACGGGGGGTGCCGGCCGCCCCCCGCCGCGCTCCGGCCCCGCCGCCCTGCCCGCCCTCCCTCCTCACCTCCGAGTCCACTCGAAAATGGCGCCGAAACCGAAAAAACTTCGCAAATTTCATTGTAGGCGGCTGCAAAGGCTGCTGGGAGCGGGGGCGGCCGCAGCACCGCCCGGCGGGGCGGGCCGGGCCGGGCTGGGCGCGGCGCGGGGCGGGGCGGGGTGCGCGGCGCTGCGGGACCGCCCGGCGGCCGGTGCGCGGACACGGCCCGGCCCGGCCCGGCCCAGAGTGCGGGAGCCGCCGGGCAGAGGCTGCCACGGCCGCTCCGGGAAGGATTCACCTGCCCCCGTCCGGGGCCGTGAGCCGCGACAGCCGCGCCCCCGCAGCCGCCGAAAGCCGCGTGCAGAGTAAAAACCTCAATGAGGGGAGAAGTAAACAGATGTATGTAAAACACGAGAGCTGCACGGGAGCGGTGGGGACGCTCGGCTTCGCCCTTCGTGCGAACCGGTTCGTTCCGCTGCCTCTTCCGTCGGGGGTTTATGGCCTCGTATAACCCAGATGGAAAAGGGATGATGCTTTTCCAGCCCTGCTTGGGTAAGAGTTGATGTCTTGTTACTCAGTGTGTGGCTCTGTCCATGCACTCACGCGACATCAGAGTGAGACTTAAAATCGTTTTCTTTTTTCCCCATTACTGTGATACTAAGTTCTCCACAAACACTAATTCTCAGTCTGCGTTTCTCCGACCGGCAGGCTTTCCCACTTCCAGCCGGCACAGCCTTATGGCGTGCCCGGAGTCACACAGGAGCAATGGGAGCAGGATTTCGGAGCCTACAGTGCATATCCTGGGGATGTGATGGCACCACGACACCCTGGCAGGGAGGATGGGCTGTTCGGAGACACGGTTTTCCAGAGACTTTTAAATGGAAAGAGTCAGAACTTGGGAGAATGGTGATTCGTGCTGGTGGGGAATCTCGCAAGCTGAGGCCTGGGAAAAGTGATGCAGAGGCAAATTGTTCCCTTCCAAAAGGAGAACCCCGATCCGGTGGTCAGAAACTTGCAGGTTTGTCGCATTCATCATTGGAAGTGGTTAAATCTGCCAAGTCTCTTGTTGGCCTGGTGGGTTTTAATTCTTCCTGCAGTTTTTATTTCTACCCCTACCCCAAACAGAAAAAAACACCCCAAACCCTGTTGCTAAATAATTGCTCTGTTCTCACAGGTGAGCAGCGAAGCTCAATTAATTCTGCTTTGTGAAGTGCTTCTGATCCTCTGATGGAAACATGTAGGGGCAAAACACTTTTATTTTGCAACTTGCAAAGGCTGATAAGAGCGATGAAAACGGAAAAGCCTCACCACTGAGGGGGATTACAGCCCCACGCTTTTTCCACTTGAGATCTTAGAGATGAGCTGATGGCTGCTGCTTTTCATTTAGAAGGGTTTTTCCCCCTCTTTTGAAAGAAATGCAATCTCTACCAAGTATTCTAGAGGGACTTCATCTTTAAACAAATAATGTTTTTCTTGTTGGGTGTGCACTATTATTTTCTTAATTATTCCTGGATTTCTGCCTGTTCCACCAAGAGTTTTCTCAGATGGCAGAAACAATTGGTCCTTTTTTTATTACGCTAATAGCAAAATGTATCCCTAATAAAAAGACTCTGTACATCCCATAAACTCAAACGGGACACTTTTTGCCAACAATCACACCTCTTCATTGAAGCATCTTATATGCTGCTTTTTTTTTTTTTAACTTTTTTTCCATGTTACTATTGTTTACTACTCAGACTCACTGGCTGGCTAAGTCTTGGTGCCAAAACGAAACGAATCAAGTCATTTATTTAGCACCAGAGTCCTCCCACTCACCCTTAGCATGAATGTTGATGTGGTAGGGAATGGATGGGCAAAGGGATTCACCTACCTTCACCTACACAGAATCGCATCTACTTGTGGGTGGCCTCTAATTAATTTGGCTTTGAGGCTCTGCTGCAAGGTAAATGGGTTAGGAAGTCTGGCCAGGAGTCATCTGGTTGAATCATACCTATTCTATGGAGAACTTCATTGTGTAGCTGCATCTGACTCCCACCCTTGTAAGAACTAATTAAAAATTTAAAAAAAAGCTCCCCACACTTATTAGAAGTCAAATATAAATGTCAGCGTTTCGGATGAAATGGTATCTTGGGAGGCTCCTGCACATTTAATCAGCTGGTTGCGCCATGTATATCATGGCCTCAAAAGCTGCAGTGAGAACCACGAAAGGCACTGGCTTAACATCAGCAAAAGTGTTTGCCAAGCTTGGATTATGTCACTGCTTTATGATCTTGCTTTGTAAAGGGAGAATACTCTTGGGGAGAAAGGACTCGGCATGCCGGATCTACAGCAAGAGCAAGGAATGAATGCTGCTCACAGAGACTGGGGGGAGGGCAAGGGATTCTGTTTGCTGGGGTGTTTTTGCAGATGGATGCTGGACGGTTGCTGCCACCAAGCAGAGATGTCAGCCCCACGGATCACTGGGGCTGAAAGCAAAAAGTCCAGAATACCCCAGCAGAGCTGTTTGCTGCTTGCCCTCTCACTGGCACAGCTGTGGGAGCCCTGCCTGGTCCTGTTTGTCGCTGTCCCCTGGCTCTCGGGGCGTCACCATCGCACTCCAGGGAATGTGGAAATGCTTTCAGGCCCCCTGGCTTTCCCTTCCCTCAGGATACAGACACCCAGCCAGGCTGGGGCTTGTCAGACACTCAGAATTTGATGCCCTTGTGGAGGTGGCAGCCACGAACTGGTTAAAAAAACAAACAACCCACACCACACATCTGAAATGTGGCCTCCTGAGATGTTTCTGGTCCCTGTCACAGGGGTGACCTGTGGCCACTCTTTCCGTTCTGCAGGCTGGTGGTAAAGGCAGGAAACTCTTCGAGGAGACCAATTCTGTTTGCCCAGCACCAGCCCAAATGCTGGGCTTGCATCTTCTTCTGCGACTGCAAGGAGAATAAAGAAAAAAGCTTGGAGGTTACATGCCCCTTGAGGGGGGCTGTTGGTGTGACGAGTGATACTGGATGGGACATACAGCTGAAGAGAAACACCTCTTCAAAAGCAGCCCATGGGGTCTGAAAGCTGTGCTGCCCATGCTGCCCTTGCTTTCCTGTTGCAGCAAGAGCCCTGCGCAGCGCCCAGTCCCCCGCCCTCCTCACTGCTGGAGCATCCTGCCCAGCCTGGAAACTTTCCACTGCTACTGGGCTAATAAATTGTGCTGCTTCTGGAGGAGTGTCTGGCCAGCCCCTAACTGCATTCTAACAGTGGGCTTAGCATGGGAAAGGGAGTCTCTGTGTCTGCAGAGGCTGTGCAGGGCACAGGGAGTGCAGGTGGGCAGCCTGGAGTGCCTGAGACAGTGGAAAGGACCAGGTGTGGGTACACATGGCCACAGTACCTCGTGTTTCCCAATGAACGGAATAGGGCTCCTGGTGTGCAGAGTGGGGACCAGGGTCTTTTATTTACTGCACTACCCCTTCAGCACAGTAAACTGCCCATCTTGAGCTCTGACTTCTGCACCAACCCTTCTTTCAGTCCCTTGTGACCAGACTGAACAGTGGGTTAATGCTTGGTTTCTTTCCATGTCTCCATCATCTGCCCTTGTGCACCAGCCCTGGTGTTCCACAATTCCCCCAGCTCTGCCTGTGACAGTCCCAGCCTTGCCTTCCTGGACACCCTCAGTGCTTGCAGCCGCCTCAGCCACTCTGCAGTGTGCAAAATGGGTGTGGTGGCAATACCAATAGGTTTTTGGCAGCATCTCCTGCCTTCCCTTGGCTCAAAGAGTGCCCGGAGCATAGCACTGTCTGGACAGGGATTTCACTGCCCGCCATCCAGCCTGCCAGCGCAGCCTTGTCATTGCAATTTGTCACACGTGTCTGCTGTGTGTCAAGCATCTTGCCGAGGGCCTATTTGCTGGGCTGTTCATGGAATTGCTCCTTGTCTGGTGTGAGGAGCGGCTGGGCCTTGCCAGGCCCACACCTGGCTGTGCCAGGCCTTGCCAGGCCCACACCTGACTGTGCCAGGCCTTGCAAGGCCCACACCTGACTGTGCCAGGCCTTGCTGAGCCCACACCTGGCTGTGCCAGGTTTTTCTGGGCCCACACGTGGCTATGCCAGGCCTTGCTGGGCCCACAACCAACTGTGCCAGGCCTTGCTGGGCCCACACTTGGCTGTGCCAGGCTTTTCCGGGCCCATACGTGACTGTGCCAGGGCCTTGCCAGGCCAACACTCGGCTCTGCCAGGCCTTGCTGGGCCCACACGTGGCTGTGCTCTGCTCTTGAGATGTGAACCAGCAGCATGACATTCCCTACCATGAGCCTCCTTTATTTCACTAGACGGTTATTTTTGTAGAAAATACCTGTTTTTTATTGAAACACTAGTTTTAAAGGATTTTTTTGTTGTTTGGAAATGGA